ACGTCGGCCAGAGATCTCGGGGTATGGTCTGCGCTCCCCGGTGAAACTCCGCCCCGAGATCTCCTTCCCGAAGTCTCGAGGACCCTGCGTCTCGTTTTGGCCCTCCCGTCTTCAGGACTGGGCGTCTGTTATGAGCTGGCGACCAACCAGTGTTCTCGTTTTGCGTCGTTCTTCCCCCATCAGTGCGTGCACTCGAGGGGTTCGCATCGTGGTCCTTTGCTCCAGAACAAAAATCGACGCGGAAGCGGCCCGCGACATCGCCACAGAACACCCTTCAGGTCGGTCGGCCCGGATCGGCCCGGTCAGGGTCGGTGCGGGCGTGAAGCCGGCGCCCTCTGGAGAAGGGGCGCGGCCGCAGGGCGGATAGAGGCCTCCTAGATGGGAACCGAGGAGAGAGGGGTCTGAAGATCCCGCCGCGTCGTCGATGCATCGCCGATGCATCGGCGATGCATCGGCGATGCACCGCCGACGTCGGCGACGCATCGGCGACGTCGGCGTGGAGAAACACGGGCTCCACATTGAGCCGCATCGTCGATGCATCGACGATGCGACGCGATCCTCCGACCCCATCTACTCGGACCCCATCTAGGAGACCTAGAGAGGAGCGAGGCGACGACAGCGCAGCGAGGAGCAGCCGGCCAGGGAGGCCAAATGTTCAAAAGTAGTCGAAAAGTCGTCCCCAGATTATATTCTGACTATTTTTGAATATTCCTCCTGTAGAGAGACGTGCCCGACTTAAGCGTAGCGAGGAGCAGCCGGCCGGGCAGCGGGGGGGGGGTCTCGCGGGTAGAAAAAACGGGGTGCGGCTATCGAAGAGGACCTGTTTGCACCACTGTGGGGGGCACCCTCCCTGTGGGCCAGCGACAAGCCACACCCCGAAAGAAAAGACAAGCAGACGCAGCGAACAGGACCAGGAGGGAAAAGCAAGGAGTTGACAGCCAATGGCTATGAATCAGACGCTGGGGAAGGCTGCTTCCGAAGAAACAACCATGCGGGGACAGCGAGGCGACCACAACCGCATCGAGGGCGCACCCCCTGGGGACGCCTTGCGCACGCCAAGCGCTGCCGGAGCACCGAAGCCAGCTCCGCACCGGCTGTGGTCGACGTGGCGTCCAGGGACGGCCGAGCCGACCACCGTGCGCATGCCGAGCTCGGCGGGTGCTCCCCCCGCGAGGGCCCTCCTGAAAAAACTTCGCGCGGGAGTGGTTGCGGTCCTGTGCTGTGCCCGGGTGTATAGGACGAGGAGGAGGAGGAGGAGGAGGAGGAGGAAAGGGGGGAGGAGGAGCAGGAGGAGGCGCACGCTGCGAGCAGCACGCACGCGGCATGGAGGAAGAGGAGATCGAGGAGGAGGAGGAGGAGGAGGAGGAGGAGGAGGAGGAGGAGGGAGAGGAGGAGGAGGAGGAGGAGGAAGAAGAAGAAGAAGAGCACAAACGCCGCGAACGCTACGAGGAGGGGGAGGAGGAGGAGGAGGCGGAGGAGGCGGAAGACGAGGCGGAAGGCCCAGGGCCGTGGACGGGGGGGGGCCCTGCCTACGACGAAGGGGTCGTAGGTGTTCTCCGCGGAGACGCTGTCGTTGCACACGAGGCCCAGTCCCTGCCGCGCCCGCGCGCCCGGCCACGCCGCCTCCGCCGCGCCACGCTCCTCACGAGGCTACGAGGCGAGCCCACGTCGGCGCCGACAGGATACCCTTCCCTGGTTCTCGCCTCTTCGAGTAGGGGATTGACTACAACATTGATTTACCCCAAAAATTGCTTCCCTCGTCGGATCTACCAAAAAACACGTGGAAGATCTACGAACACTCTTCGTTTTTTCCCCGCGGATACGACAAACAATTCAAGTCTGGGGTAAATCAATTCTGTAGTCGATCCCCTACTCGACCTCTGCTTGGGACGCACAAGGACGCACTAATACCAGATGTCCTCCTTGGAGGCGCGCGTCCGACCAGAACCTGTAGTACGCCCATCTTGTAGTGCACCGTTTCCCGAGCGGCGTGACCAGAAAGCGCCCGCCACGACGCGTATACGATAAGATTTCTCGGTGCCCGCGACCCACCCGGCGCCCCACCCACATTCCTTGAACGAACAATCGGCGCCCGCGGCTGGCCCGTAGTATACTTTGTAAAAGTAGGCGCCTGCGGCGGGCTTATTCAGAGCCTCGCAGACTGCAGACGTCCCCGTCGCCCCCGCAACCTTATCCGCAACTGCGGGGTGTTGTGTATTGATATGCTGGGGTCTCCCAGAAGGCCCGCGTCGCCGAGGCCGAATCCGCAGCGAGAGTCTGGTCAGAGCGCACCCCAGGAGAGGTTCAGGAGCAGCGGCATCGGGGACCCGGCGCTTGTCCTCGATTTCGGCCTATCCCAGGCACGTCATCGAGACCCAGCACCAATTTCAAGCGGACCCTGGGGCACCCCGGGAACAGGACGGGACATCTGGGGCCCTGGCTTGAAAAAAATCAGGTCGGAGGATGTCGGGAAGACAGGGTGGCGTGACTTCCCGCGGGCAGCCCGACACCTCAAGAGGCCCTGGGACTCTCCGGGTCCCGCCCTGCTCGTCCTTCGTCAATCGTCGTCGTCGTCGTCGTCGTCGTCGTCATCAATCGTCGTCGTCATCAATCGTCGTCGTCGTCATCGTCGTCGTCGTCGCCAGCGCCGCCGCCCTCCGTCGTGGCCGCCGCCTGCGAGGCATTGCTGATGGATCAGCGAAACGGCTGAGCTCCTCATGGGCTCTTGGGATCTGTCTTGACCTCCAAGGGTCAGGCTGCTGCTGGGACCTCTCACAGGGCGCGCCCCAGCCAGCATTCTGGAGGCGGCCTCCCGCCGTGGCTGAACTGAAGGGGCCCTGGGACACACAAAGAAAAACACACAAACAAATCCATATTTTCTGGGTTTTTGTCTTCCCCCCCAATTCCCATATTTCCCCATATTTTCTGGGGAGTCGACGATTAATTGTGTCTGTGTGTTTCCTTCCCTCCTGATGAACGAGGGCTCCACTGCGAGGGGCGGAGAGCATCCGCCAAGGCCCTGTCGGCGTGTGCCGGGGGCCGCTCCGTCGCCCAGCGCTGTCGCCGCCGCCGTCGCGCCGCCGCCGCCACGGGGGCGCGCAGACATGCATTGGCGATCCATGGATTTGGCGCGCGGTCGCCTAAGCCATCAGGAGGGTTCCAAAGGGAGCTCTTGGGGAGGGGGTTTTCCAGGAGGGGTCCCCCAAGGGCTTCGCACCCTCTGTTTTGACGAAGTTCCGAGGCCCCTGGGGGGGCTCTCTGGAAAACCCCCTCCCAAAAAAAAATTGGAACCCTCCGGTCCATGGATCGGGGGAGGTGCCCCTCCCAAAATGCGGCCGGTGCCGCCTCGCTCGGCGGTGGGAGTCCGCGATGTCCCATGGGAGCGGGCCCGTCGCTGATCCATGGCCCCTTGATCCATGGTTGCAATCGCCGGAATCACGTCCCCTCCTGTCCCTGCGCATCGGTCGCCGCCCCCGTCCTGTCCTTGGGCCCTCGCCCTCACGCACGCCCGCCAGAGCGAGCCACTTGCACCAGCCCCTCCACAGCGAGGCGCGCGGCAACGCTGCCACGGAGTCGGGGGGAAGCCCCTTCCCTCTGATCCCTTCCCGGCAGAGGGGGGGGGGGAGGAAGGGGGGTCCCCCGGGGAGGGTTCTCGGGGGGGAGGGGTCCCGGGGAAGGGGGGGGGGCCCTGGGGCGTGGTCCACCACCCTCCCAGGGCCTGTCGGGAGCGCCCTCGCCCTCCCACTTCCGCCGAGGGCCGAGGCCTCCAGGGTCGGCGGCACCGGGCGTGGGGCCTCGGCAGGGGCCTCCCGCCGCGGCGGCGAGGGCTCCCCGGGAGAGGGGGGGGCGAGGTCGGCGCTCGTTCCTCCCCTGGAGCTCGGCGGCAAGCCAGGCCGGGAAATGAGAGGATGGGGGCCCCGCGCCCTGGGGGGTCTGACGCGTCGGGGCTCACCAAGGCGCCCGACCCAGACATGATGGCGTCGTGAAAAAATCAGAACGGAAGGTTTTTGCAGATTTTCGGCCTCGGGGGGCCCTCGCCGGGCCTCGGGACCGTCAAAAAACGACTCAGGACGAAAAACCGGCCCCGGGGAAAGGGCCGGGACTTCCGGGGACGCCGTCCTGAAAAAATCAGGACGTCGCATGTCTGGGGAACATACATGATCTCGAGACCCGATTCGCGGCTCCACACCGAGAGAGCCCCGCGCGGGGCCGCCGTCCGTGGGCCCAGGGCCCCCCCTCGGGACGACAGCAGGCCAGCGGCGGGAGGCTCGTGGGAAGCATAGTGTGCTAGATTCAGGTCGGGCACGTCCTCCTACAGTCGGATGTTGGAAGATTTGTGTTCAATCGCCAACACAAATTACTCTCAAAAGTAATCCGACTGTAATCGAAAAATCGTCGCCAGGCTATTGTTTGACTGTGTTTGAGTACTCCTCCTGTAGAGGGACGTGCCCGCCTCAATGCTGGATGGTTGGACCTGGCACGCCAGGCCGACGAGGCAAAAGTTTGCCCGATGGACGACGATACTAGAAGAAGAAACAACGTCATAAGCACAAACTTTTGGCGCTGGGGCGGAGCGCCCCACCCAGGGGGGGCCCATCCTATCCAAGAAATCCGCGCCGGGCGCAAACAACTCAGGTTTATGGCGTGTTTTCTTCTTCGAGGCAGCAGGTCGTTAGGAACATGGTGTGCTAGATTTCGGTCGGGCATGTCCTCCTACGGTCGAATGTTGGAAGGACAACCAAAAGTAGCCAACAAATGCTCAAATATAGTGCAAACATAATGGAAGAATCGTCGCCCGGCTATCGTTTGAATATTTTTGAACATTCCTCCCGTAGAGGGGCATGCCCGACTGAATGCTAGATGGTTGGACCTGGCACGCCAGACCGACGAGGCAAAAGTTTGCCCGATGAACGACGATACTACAAGAAGAAAAAGCGCCATAAGCATAGATGTTTGGCGCTCCGCGCGGATTTCTTGGATCTGCGCTGGGCTGGACCCCCTCCCTGGCGCGCGGAGCGCGTCAAGGGCGGCGCCGGAGGCGCCGCCGGGGGGGCCCAGCGCGGATCCAAGAAATCCCCGCGGAGCGCCAAAAGTTTGTGTGTAGGGCGTTTGTCTTCTTCCAGGTACGAGATGGCCCCCCCTCCTAATCGGAACATCGTCGCGAGCCTGTTGTTTGACTATTCTTGAATCTTCCTCCTGTAGAGGGACATGCCCGATTGAATGCTAGATGGTTGGACCTGACACTCCAGGCCGACGAGTCAACAGTTTGCCCGATGGGCAACGATACTAGAAGTAGAAAAAACGCCATAAAAGTACACTTTTGGAGCTCCGCGCGGATTCCTTGGATCTGCGCTGGGCTGACCCCTGGAGCGCGCCAGGGGCGGCGCCGGAGGCGCCGCCGGGAGGGCCCAGCGCGGATCCAACCACGCGGAGCGCCAAAACTTTATGCGTATGGCGTTTTTTTTCTTCGAGATGCGATTGGGTCGGGCCTGTCCCCCTACAGGAAGACTTTGGACGAAAAATAAGGTATGCAAAAATAGTCCCCAAAAAAATACTCAAAAATAGTCCCAAAATAGTCACCGGACTATTTCTTGACTATTTTTCTTAATAGTCCCCTTGTAGAGGGACAGGCCCGACTTCAACAAGATACGAGCTGGCCCCCCCCCTCCTCGGCGATGTGGGCGACATCGGCCATCTGCTGCGGCCACGAGTCCTCCACGGCCGCGGCGCGCGCTGGCGGGGGCAGGCGTGCCATCAGCCGCCGCCGCAGGCCGACCGCTGCCGCCCCGGCACCGGCCAGGACGCGGCAGGGGCGGCAGCGGCGTGAGACGAGGGCAGAACCGAGGCAGCGTCGGAGCGACCTCAATCAGAACTCTCTCGCACCCGCCGGCGCAGTCGGCGGATTTGGAGGATGCGTCGCGGGCGCCGCGGCCGTGTGCAGAGCGCTTTGGGAACGGATGCATCCCAACTCTGGGCCCGTCCGACGGCGGCAACGGGGGCAGAGACGGCAGGAGGACAAGAGCAGGATCAGCACCAGGGGCGCGGATGCGAAGACGGGAGCCGGGGATGAATGAAGGGGCCCTGGGACACACAAGGAAATAGACACAAATAACAAGCTTCCCTGTATTTCCCCATATCCCACCAGCCCTCTGGGCTTAAGTGGTATAACGCGTTTTTTCTTCTCTCTTCCACTGAAGCCCCTCCCCCATACCCCCTCCCCTGGGCCAGGAAGGGGGGGGTACCGAGGCGTTAGAGCGTCCAAGATGGCCCAAGATTGCTCCAAGAGGGCGTCGAAGTCGCAAGATGGCCTCCAAGATGGCCCATGCTACTTCAAGATGGGTCAAGATAGCCTCCGACATACCCCCAAGAGGCCCCAAGACAGCCCCAAGACGGATCCAAGTGCCCTTCGAGCCCTCCACGGCGCCCTCCAAGATGCCAAAACCGTTCAGAAGCCTAGGGAAAATCAATGTTTTTGGCATTATCGCCTTTTCGCTTCCGATGGGTTTTGGAAGCCTCAAGATGGCCCCAAGATGGCCCAAAAGAAGCCCAAGAGGGGCCCAAGAAGGCCGAAGACGGCCCCAAGATCGCCCAAGAGGCGCCCAAGAGCGCTCCAAGACGGCCCCAAGACGCCGTTTGAGAGCCTCCGAGGGGGGGATCCGAGTTAAGGCGCCTCCTCTTTTTGAGCCATGGTGCCCAAGACGGCCCCAAGAGGCCTCCCAGACCCCCCAAAGAGCCCCAAGAGGGCTCCAAGAATGGTCTTCCACATGGCCTAAGATAGCCAAGCATGGCGCAAGATAGCCTCCGATAGACCTCCAAGAGGCCTCAAGGCAGCCTCAAGATGGCCCAAGATAGCCGAGCATGGCCCAAGAAAGTCTCCGACAGCCTCTAGCCGAGCATGGCTCAAGATAGCCTCCAAGAGGCCTCAAGAAAACTGGCAATCAATTCTGGATGGGCTTGTGGGGATACTTTTTGGTTGCGACCGCGCAGCAGAGGGCAGGCGGCGAAAGGGGGTCCGGGGCACGGGCCAGCCTAATTAGCTACCTGGTGGGGGTATTTTTTTTTACAGCCGCAGGCGGAAGCGCCAGCGGCGGAAGGTCGCGAACGGGCCGCGGACGCGACTAAATTACCTAACGCGCGCAGGGCCGCGGATCAGGCGGCTCACGACAGCGTCCAGGGAAGACGATGCAGTCCAGGTGCCATGACAGCACCTGAACGGGCATGCAGGTGCATCCAACAGGCCTGAGGTAGGCACCGAGACCACCAATCGCGGCCAAAATGGCGCGAAAACGTTCCAACGTCCAAGAGCGAACAAGGGAACGGCCGAAGACGCCAGCCCCAGCCTGTCGAAAACAGAGGTCGGGGTGGTAGTTCCAGCGAGGATCCCACCGGCGGCAGCGAGCCGCGGCGTCAGCGACATCAAGATGTATCCATGTTCCGAAAAGACAACCACACCAAGACGTATCGGCCCAGACCCAACGGGTGAAAGGGCACCGAATGCAC